GGTTATATCCAGTACCGACAAGTTTTGTCAGGCCGGCTGAGATACGACAGACATAGTAATGGTTGAGAGCTATTTGTATTAGCAAATAACTTGACAACATCTGTTTACCTTGTGAACTGGATTAAGTTGGTGAAGTGTAATGTTTTCATCACTTTCTGTCACAGCAAGTCAGAATTAATATAAAGATATTTAGCACTATGTTGTTCATTAATTTTAACACCATATATTATTAATTTTTAGTAGAAAGAAAACTGTCGATTTTGTTTGTTTATAGTTAAGCACAAACCTTATCCTACTACAAATATTGAAACTTGATTTTTAGCGTTATAAGCCCTCAGACGCACAACTGAGCGAACCAGTCTTCTTGATCCTGGAGCGGGTAGTTATTAAAGTTTATTATTCAGAAGAACTGGCTGACTAGAAAGTTTGTATTCTTTATCCCGTAATGAGTGCAACGACCACAGCCTCAACAGAAGAAAACTTCTGAACGAGATTAAGGAAGATTGTAAATATTATGTCAATCATTACGAGGTTCATACTATGGTTTATTGATGGTATCTAATGGTCTGACTTGACAGTAAATATTCGGGAAGAATTAAAGCTTACCTGAGATATGAATCCAAGACCAATAATGTAAGAAATTAAACACACAATAGCTATAAAGATTTCTTTATGGGGACGCAAAATTCTTGGCCATTCGTCAACTATAGCCGTCACAAAACCTTCCATTGTGCAGAACTGTCAATAAGTAAATAGAACAAATTAATAATTTTATTTTACTGAGCATATATATATATAACATGAAACTTCTAAAACTAACCAGTTATTATGCTCTATGAATACATTACCCTAGGAATTCTAATATAAGTGTAATTCAAATGTTTTTGTCAAAATGCTAGAAAATAAAAACGTCTTGGTGCAAGACTGTTAGTTAAGATTGTTTGGTTATTCATATACTTCTTATGTTGGGCTGTATCCACGGTAATTATAATAAATAATGACATCCTAACCACAAAATAAATTATGTTCGTCCGTTAAGTTTAAAAAGTGAATTAACGCATTAAGATTGGCTGGTTTGTTGGTTATTGTTAAGCACAAAGCTACACAATAGACTATCTGTGCTCTGCCTACCATAAGTATCGAAACCCGAATTGTAGCGAAGTAAACCTTCAGACTCACCGCTGAGCCACTGGAAGGCAACACATTAACTAATAAATAATGCATTATATTTCATCCAAAGTGAAATAAAAATATCGATTTTATTTCCTTAGTTTTCGAATTTTGTCTGTAGTTTCAATGCCAATTTTATGACTTTCTGTGACAGCGTTAATGTTTTTTTTCAGTGTAGTATCCACCCCTCAACCCCGCCAGCCCTCTTTATTATATATTAAATTGTTAACTAAAGCTCTCGAAGTCTACGAAAGAAAATTTAGTCACTTGGTTATTTCCTTAAAGGCAAATCGCCCGAAAACTAGTAAATTACGTTTATATGGATTTCTTTAAGTTGTGTAACGATTATCTAAGGTTTGTAAAGCACAGGAAGATGATATAACACAAGAGACTGGATTCTCAATTTCACTCCCTTTTGTAATACTCAGATTACATTTTGCTGGCTAACTGTTTTACCTTTATTTAGCACGTGAACTTACCTGACTGTCGAGGCCTAGCATCATAATCATCAAAAAGAAAAGAACAGCCCATAGTGGAGAGATAGGAAGTTTTAGAGTAGCTGATGGGTAGGCCAGAAAGGCAAGCCCAGGACCTGAAAAGCACAGTTAACTATTGATATTTTTATATTATGTTACTTAGATAAACTTTGGAAGCACATTTATTTTCAATCATGGACTCATATTAATTCTTATATTTACTAGTTCTTTGCAATTCCTAATTGTTTCATAGTATGATGTAGGCTGTGGTCTAGATGACAAATGCAGACGACAGTTAAGAAAACTAAAACAACATTCTGGGATATAGCACACTTGTTGAATATTTTCGTTAATAAATCATATTTACTAATTTACTTTTTACGCTATAGTCTTTATATGATGATTGCAATAAAATCATTTTATGTAATGGAAAAATCTAGTGGCCATGGGCCCCCATGTTTTGTGTGTGTGTGTGTTTTTTTTTCTATCCATTTGAATGGAAATTAAATGTGAAAGAGCCTTTTCCGAAGAATGGTTTTTGAATTGGTTGGATATAAGAAACAGGATTAATTTATAGGTATTATAGATAAAACTCACTCCGTTCGCCATATTTATCGCGACAAAAAGCGTCCGTTATTAGAATTAACGACAAGAACATGACATTATGTTCAACATAAAAAATATAACATTGAGTTTTCTGTGTGTAATAGTAGTCCAAAGGCATCTTCATTTTAGACCACCTTAATGTGCAATTAAAATTGAAAACATATTGATTTAAAAACATATTTTAATAAGAATAAAATGATTATTCTAAATTTTAGTGGTAATTTCTTGCCATCTCCTCAACTGTATATTGGTTTATTTTCATCAAGAGTTGATGAAAAGTTAGAATAATGTCGTATATAATGTTAACCATTTTCAAGCATTATCGCGCATAATATAATTTTTATTTATGCACCAAGTAGCAGAAAATAATCGATTAAACATTATTATGCCATAATTTGGGGTATTTGGATACCTTAAGATGGTTATTTTTACCTAAGACGAGATGTTTAGAATTATATGAAATTGAAGGGTATGAAAACGAGACTATTATATCATTTTATTTACCAGATGCAGCAACTTCTTCTATTGGTTTCTGCTGTTCGTGTGCCATAAACCCAACAACAGAAAATATCACAAAACCAGAGAACATGGATGTTCCACTGTTGATACAAGACACGATGAGAGCGTCCCTGAAATAATAATGAATAAAATAATAATAATCAAGAAATTGCTCTAAAATTCGAGTTACAAGAAATAGGTGATAGATAGTGCATGAAGCAAACAACCAGTTTTTTACGTGTTTTGTAATTACGTTATATTAACATTAATAGTTAAAATGTTCGATATATATTTTATATATATATTCATTTGTGTATTTTATTATGAGAAGTATTCTGCGTTGTTTGCTTAGTATTTAAAGTTAGGATTTTCCATAATTCAGCTAAGCAGATTTCGAAAAATAATGTTCATTTTTTCTCTACCACGTAAGGATTTTTTTACAAATTGGGAAGAAAAACAACACATACTTAGATCAAATTATTATTTAGTTTATCACAATGAAAATTTTTTATTATTATG